AGCATCCTGGTGCAGGAAGGGCCAGAGCGGGCATGGTGACACAGAGAAGGGAAATGTATGGCGGGGGTGGTAGGCAGGTCAGGGAATTTTATCAGCCTTTTATCAGGCTGTCAGCATCCATTCCCGTTAAATGTGAGATCTTCCGCAGATGCCTGCCGAATGGCAAAAGGCCGTGGCTGTCTTGAAGAGATGTGCTCTACACAAACGTAAGGGACCCAAGCCACTTACCGACCCACACGGCCACAGCAGGAGGGCAAAGGAGCATGGGTGCCCATGCCCATGCCCATGCTGGGTGCCCAAGGAGGGAGCGGCCTCCACCCTCATCCACCACTTCCCTCTTACACACATGGACAGAAGTGGTCACCCTGAGCTTCTGTGGGCACCCGGCACCTATCTGCACCAGGCACCACCAGGTCCAACAAGAACGGGAGAGGTGCAGAGGACAAGAGCCCCCAGGGAGGCTGAACCCTGACACTAGAAGGGCACCCCAGCATCCTCAGGTCCGTTCGTTAGAAGACTGGAGTCCTGTGAATTCTCAGATCCGGCAGAGCCATTTTGTAGGCAACATCATATATTTAGCTTACAACGTGACAAAAAAAAAATGTTGGGCATATAAATTGTGTCACCTTTTTACAAGAATATTTTCTAAAGGGGTACACCTCTTAACCTAATTCTACAGAACTGCAGGGCATGGCGGCGCATGCCTGTAATCTCAGCACTTAAGAGGCTGAGGCAGGAGGATTGTTGCAAGTCCAAGGGCAGCCTGTACTACAAAGTGAGTTCAAGTTCAGCCTGAACTGCATAGTGTGACCTTGTCTCAAAAAAACAAACAAACAAAAAAAAACAACAAAAAAAAATTCTACAGATTTGCCCAGAGTGATCTATACAAAAATGCTCATTTCAATATAAAAGAAAAAATTGGGGAGGGGGTTTATGGGGAAAAGATCCCTAGGAACAGGAGAATAAATGGTTATGTAACATTATCTTTCCATATGAAAATGTGTAACAGCATAAGGTAATAAAATGTAGTCTTTAAATATGGGATAGATTTTTATTAGCATAGAATAAATGTCCTTGATGACTAGGTTTCCAAATGCATTACAAAGAACAATATTATTTTTGCTTAAAAAACACCTTCTCACACTCAAAAAATTATGAGACCTTATATAATTTAGAATCTTGGTACTACCTTAAAAATATTTTCCTGCTCACAAAAAGCAAACAAGATGAACAATATAGTTCTTTGTTCTTAAGTCAGGTAAGATCTTTCTCCGCAAGGAAGAAGAAAGAATAAAAAACTGCCAATTCTAAACAATTCCTTTCTTTTGGAATTAAGCTTTTTAAGGTTGTTTTGTTGTAAGATCCAAAGAAACCTGCTTCTCAGGGTACCAGAAGAGGAACAGAATTGTGATCGGGCGTCACTATGGACCCATAATTTCTGACAAGGTGATGGAATAGCGAACTGGATCAGAACACACTACCTTGCTGGAACGGGCACATCTATGGGTACTGAGTCATGCACCACTGCCAAAATCCTCCAAGCCCCCCACCCCAAGCGCCCTGGTGGGCAATGCAGCCTCTGCGGCTGGGGCTGGAGGATGGCGGAGAATCTTGTTTTTGGGGTAGCAGCAGGCAATTAGGAAGGCAGCACATCTGAAGGAGAAAGGCTGTCCCCCACAAAGACCACGTATATTGCACTGTGATTTTAACAAAGAAAAAGACACGAAGAGAAGAGCACAGCTGGGCCCTGGGTGGGAAGAGAGGCCCAGTCAGCCAGTAACTACAGGCATCCAACAGAGGACAGCGACACTGACAGGATCAGCAGTGAGGTGAATGCGGTATGGAAGACACTGCTTTCCTTTCAGTCAGCCTCTCTCTCTTTGCCCGAATACCAACAGGCCGTCAGTTACTTTTAGGACCTGGTACAATAAGACATCTCCCACCAGCTCCCTGCCATCGCACCAAAGCGCCCAGAGAGGTCTCCATCACCCCAGTCCTGGGAAGGCAGGGAGATGCTGGTTGTTCTGGGTAGACCCCTCACTGCAGGACGTGGTCACTGCTCCCATTTCCAGGCTTGCCCAGGCTCCAGCGACACGCAGGTTCAGTCATCACAGCTCAGAGAGGGTGGGTCTAGTAAGCAGGTGAAGGAGGACATCACGGTGTTGGGTGAACAGATGCTTGCCGAGTCCTAAGTCCAAGTGCTGGGCCCTGCAGGGATGGATGAAGCGCTGTCCCTGCCCACGGGGGGCTATGGGACCGTCTAACCAGAAGCTGGCTTCACACAACAAAAAGGAGCTCCGTTAGAGGGAACCAGCCAAACCTGAGAGGAACAGGACGCGTCAGGGAGTCCGTGAAGGGCGCACGGCCAGGGTAAACACACGGCAGCCTACGGCCTTGGTCTACAACAGCCTTGCAAAGAAAACTTTTCTCTCCTTTTGCTGTGGAGGAAATGGGCCCCAGCAGCAGAGGCTGCGAGCCTCTGGGGCCCAGGTGACAAATGGAGGTGGGGGGCACTGGGGCTGAGGCTATCACGCTGCAGAGACGGGGTTCGGCCCGGCTCCCACCAGCCCCAGAGCCTCGAGCTGGGATGGATAAACGTACCCAACCCTCCGAGTCTAAGGGGCCGAGAGGGAGCAGCTATGACAATGCAGTTCCGTCCCGCTGTTGGCAGGGCTTCCCAGCGCCCCAGAAGGGAGGCACAGGCAGGGTTCCGTGGAACAGTTAGCAACCCAGGAGTAACACCTGGCTCCTCTTTGTCACTGCCTGGAATCCAACAACTGGAGGCCCACGCCCCACCTCCAGGTCTACGCGATTCTGTACTTAGCGAGAGGCAAGGCCAGCCCACAACCACACAGCGGCAGGAAGCCAAGAGTTAGGCAGCCTAATGGAAAACATACAATGCATGCGTATCTGATGCAGAACAGACGAAATAACCCCGAGCACAGTCATGTGGTTTGGAAAGTGTCTTTGATAAAGAAATCCCAGAGCAGCCAGAACATACCCAGGCAAGCCAGCCCCATGACTCCCGCCTTCCTGCGGGGAGCCGTCAAGGACCGGGCACAGGGACTGTGTCCCCACATGATCAGCAGCCATCACAGTCCCCGGGAGAACCGCTCCCCTCAGGCTCGGCTGAAGCTGCAGAGACGGAGCAAGATGTCCGCCTCCAAAATTAACACTTTCTCTCTTCCCTGTTCGTTTCTGCACCATCCAAGCCCCACCCCCCGTGAGGAGCTGACGTGCCACAGAGCACCATGTCAATGTTGTTGCACCAGGAAGGGCCCCTCTGGGAACCTGCAGAGTGGGGAAGGCGGCGAAGACAAATGAGCCACTGTCGCCCTGGCGGTTAAACCCCATTTCTAGCCATGGTTCAGATAATAAAAGCAAGAGGAGACAGAGCCTCATGTGCAGCTCACCAGTCCGGGCTGGACCTTGCCTGCCACGCTGGGGCTGCCTCACCCTGAGTTCCTCGGCCCTGGGGCCCTCTGCAGTGGCTGCACCCGCCAGCCAGCCTAGGGGGGTTAAGCTAGGAGGATGTGTCACACACTCACGGTCCTGGGACAGTGCAAGGGCTCTGGACCCCGCTGTAGAAGCGATCGTAGTCCAGGTGGACTGGATCAAGTCCCCGTGAAAACTGAACAGGAATTCTGAAAGTGCTTACAGTGCAACTCCTCCCAGAGCCCCAAACACACGAGGTGCCTCAGGGGCAGCTCAGGCACCCCCACGGCCTCTGCACCGCCTGCCCTTGCTCAAAGGCTTCTGTGCTCAGGTCACGGCTCCAATGTGTCCCACATCATACCCACCAGGGAGCTACCTGCACAGCCAGAAGCACTGCGGTGTGTGTGGAGACGCCACCAACAGGCACCCAACGTGGAGAACTCAGGACTTCACGGCCCAGATCAGAGCAGCACAGCACTCACAGGAGGACCCGAGGGGCAAAACCACAACCTTGACAACCACCGTGAGATGCAGACACGGGGCAACAGGGGGCAGTGTCAGGCCCTCGCTTCTCAGCAGGGCGTAGGGGGCTGGACACTGACAGGACACACAGGAGCCTGCCAGGCCTCTGGCGGCTTTGCAGGCACACACCTCAGACGGCTCTCCAGGAGTCGCGCGCTGGGACATATCTGCAGCGTTTCCCCAGGACAGTCGGTCCCTAAGCCCACAGCAGGGCAGCAGTGGGAAGGGTCAGAAGTGCAGACCTCGGGCCCCACTCAGCGTCCCGAGTCACAATCTGTGTCTCAACAAGATGCGCCTGGGACACTGCTACGGATAAGAGGCCTCGCCATGGAGCATTTGTAACACAGCAGTCCACCGAGACAGGGCTGCGGCAGCGGACTCGGGTTTTTAATGGATCTCTTCTTTCCCCTTGGATTGAGTTCATGATCACAGATAGAATGTGTTTATCTTAGTTGCTGCACACAGTAATTACTCAACAAATACTACTGAGTGAATGGTTGGGTAAGTGGGCACCAAAAAGATTGATCCTATTTTAAGTACAGAGAGACTTGAACAGGGGTCTGAGCCAAGAGGGGGAGGGGAAGGGAGACTCCCAGCGATGGGGAAAGAAGTCAGACAAGGCCCTTTAGAGACTGGCCACACGCTAGACATGGACGTGGAGACACACGCTTGCCAAGGAGAAGGGGTGGGGGCGGGGTGGAGGTGGCACCTCCATCTTGGGATGGGGGGTGAACACTGTGAAAGAGAGAAAGAAGGACAAGATGACAAAGAAGAGAACCAGGACCTGTATGTCTGGCTCTGGTGGTAAAATACCGAAGCTCCAAGGAGGCAGACTCAGAAGGCCCCAGGATCATGGTGATGGTTGGGTGGGGACAGCAAGGCCCCGCCTAGGAGACGGAGCACCCAGGCTCCCGGAGCCATCTTCGATACAGAAATCCCAGAGCTCTGGAGAGAAGCAGTCCATCAGCCACACCGAACCACACCCTCTCCAAGCTCCGCAGGCCTAGCACTGTCTGCAGAACACAAACGTGGAGGTGACTCACGGTTCTCAACAAGTTGATCCAGGAACTTGTGGGCAGCCAAGCATCAAGGGGCCAGGAGTCCAGTCCAGATGTTACCCTATCGTGGTGCACTGGAAGAGAATCACAAACGCCATGCGTCACTGCAAGAGGCCACGTTCACAAGTGAGCAACACCCTCCCTCCCCAACCACCCCTGATGCGGTTCAGCTCATAAAGAGGGCAGAAAGGAGAAATCCACCTGTGGCTAATGGCCTCAAGGCACCGGGCAGCCACAGCGCTGGCAAATCCTCTGCCTTCAACCTGGGGAAAAGATACCAGCCACCAGCTGCACCAGCTGCAGCCGCCAGAGCTGCCTCCCCTCGGCCCCCAGAATGGAGCCCAGCGCTACGGCGTCAGGGGACCCTTGGAACTCAGCAGCCCAAGGCCTCTGTCCACAGATAAGAAAAGCCAAGAACCAGAGAGCACACGGGTCTTATCCCACACCAACCGCCAGCAAGGGCAAAACCAGGAACAGAATTGCAGAACAGACTCTATAAAGCTTACATTTTACCTGTAAATTACCTCCCTAATAAAACTCCATTTCTAAACAAATATTACTCTTATTCTGTCTGGCTCTGAACTGAGGAGGAGACAAAGGAGACAAATCCGTAGTTCCAGATCTTAACTATTCTCTGGTTCTTTCTCCTGAATCCCAAAAGACTTGCACCAGCCAAACCAAAACTCCTGGTTTTCTTCAAAAGCAAAGTTTCAAAAAACAGAAAAGAAAGAAAGAAAGAAAAAGAACAGTACATTTTTGCACAGAGGAAGAAAACCTGAAATCTTTACAGGCATAAAACATCTGAGTTTTTACAGTGTGAAAAACACAGACTGACACAGAAAGCTCCTCTTCCACACATCAGGTTCAAAGACCCTTGAGACTAGAACCTACCTCTCCCATGGGGATACTTGGGGACCACAGAAATTCGTGCACTTTACAGGTTGGTTGTCAATGCTTCATTTTAGTGGAATGAAATGAACGATCAAAATGCTGTTCTCTAAGAAATGAGATTTCTGGTTATGACTTTCTACTTAAGTCTTTGTCTAATTATATATTTACACATGATCATCTTAATAGTTGCCTCTTCCCCCTGGGTTCTGGTTTCAGCAGGCCATTACAAATCAATGTGACCTCAGGCAGGTCACCCCTAACCTTGGGCACCTGTACTCAGTTCACCCGTAAGAGGAGGAACATGAACTTCAGCCAGAAGACTCACACAACTCCCTTATGCTTTTAGAATAGAACTGAAATATTTCACACTAGGCTGGCTTATCTACAGTGCGTGATGACCTGCCTGCCTTGAAGAAGCGAATGTCGGTCATGATCAGTTTAACTTATACATGTCTTAAGCAACGGCGGCAGAGTTGGGGCATTGTGTTTCTAGGACTTCAAGTTCAGCAGAGACCCATCTGCCCCCGCCCACACTGAAAGGGTATTTGGATCTGTTTTCCCAAAGGTCCATTATTATTTATAAGGCAGAAAGCAGAATTTAGGCAGTGAGATCATTTGTTTTGAAAACGACAGCAACCATTCCAATTTTTTCCCCTCCCTTTTAGCACGCTAGTTCCTCTGAGTCAAGACGGGGATGTAGATTTCAGAGAAAATGCAAAGGCAGTTAGGCCACCCACAGTATGGACCAGGGTTCCACGCTGGACTCCCCGGGCACAGCTACCTGCCCACTTTCCTTTCAACAGTTGGGCATTGTCCAAGCTAAGAAGCCAAGGAAGAGGCACACAGACAGAACACCCCAGGACATCTTCAACACCTGGGATCCATTTTAAAAAGCCCCACCAGAATGTCCACAGTGTTCCTTATTCTGACGGAGGGGGAGGGGACAGAGGCAGGGCAACATCACAAACACTTCTGCAAATACCATGGGCCCTTTCACCCAAAGGAGAACAGACAGAAGTATGCATTCAGCCCCCTGAAGTTCCTCTCTGCACCTCGGACTAAGGACTCCAGCTGCAGGAACGTAAGCACCGGCCTTGTAATTCTGGAGGCCCTCTGCAAGTGGAGGCAGGGGGACTGACCCTGTGTGGTGTGACACACAGCCGCAGGACCAGGCCGGAAAGCTGTCACAGCAGGCAGAGTGGCACCCTCAGGACAGGTGGGGCCCACAGGAAGTTGGTACTCAAATTTCTGCATTATTCTCATATAGTAATAACGATAAACAAAAGCACATGTTGTTTAAAACAGGAATCCACGTAGGTCGTAGAACTAAGAAGCCCAAAGACTGGTTACAGTCTGAAATGTTTGTCACCTCTGAAGGGAAGACGACTGCTAAGTCTTTGTAACCTGGCGTGGGCTACAGCAGTGTCCGTTTTATTCTTTATAACTACCTTTTTTATAGAGCTGTGTATCACTACGTTGCCCATACTGCCCTTGAACTCCTGGGTCAAGTGAACTGCCTGCCTCCGTCTCCTAAGAAGCTGGGACTGTAGGTGTATGTCGTGGCACCTGCCTTTAAGCTCTACCAGTGATTCTGTATGCTCTTCTGTATATGTATCACCACGAAGCACTTATTAAAGGTTTGTTTCAGTGACAAAAGTCTTAATAGCAATCCTTGCGTTATTCTCAGCCTGGTTTTAAAACACACCAATAAAACGGTGCCGTGAGCCCAGGGCCATCCAGGGCGGGGCCTGACGAGGAACAGTCACAAGTTCTGGCTCCAGGATGCACGTCTATAAATACCATTTCATTTTTAAAAGTCCACACCCTGGGACAGCCCTGTGCTCTGGCCTAATGCCACGCTGACCTCCAATGCGGCCCATGGTTCTGGGAAAAGCCAGCGTTGGGTTTCTGTGGACCTGGTGATCTTCTCGGCTATGCTCGGCTGCCTGTTTCCTGTGGCACATTCTGTTACCAAGAACAGTTTCATCAAGTCATCCTGGGCAGCTGAGAACGGAGGGAAGAGCCAGATACTGCCGGGGAGCTAGAAAGAGGGCCTGGTCACCTCCTTCCATAGCTGGGTACAGAGGCCTGGGTTCCTTACACTCTCTCCTGCAGACCCACTATCTCCCTGCAGAGAATTCTGTTCATTCACTAAACGGTCAAGTCATTCACTGATCACAAGTGTAGGCAAAAGGTGGAGACACAGCCAGTGGGTCTCACTTCCAAGCCCCTCCACACTGCCCAACATCATCTCACCAAATATGAGAGCATCTGCCTTTCCTAATGACAGAACGACAGCACGTCAGCCGTAACCTTACCAGGAAACAAAGCTGTCTTCTTAAATTTTTAATCACCACCTTCATTCCTTTTACATTCCTGTAATGGAATGCCTAAGACTGGATAATTTATAAATAATGGTTTTTATTTCTTCTGACGCTGGGAAGTCCAAGGCCTTGGGGAGCTCATCAGCGAGGTCCCTAGACCCCTGATCCCACCTTCTCAGGCCCTATCTCCTAACTTGATGGCATTGGGGATTCAGTTTCCAACACGGGAACTCTGGTAGATACATTCAAAGCACAGCAATTAAAATGCCCAAATCAGCACCATGTCACCCAGTAACCCTTTGACCTGGTTTTAGATAGGCTGCACGGCACAGCCTTGCAGCTCCAAGAGTTTGTGTCTAATGAAGGAAATGTTACTTCCTCTCTAGCTAAGAGTCTCCTCTACTCATCCCCTAGCTAAAGTCTGATGTTTCAAAAGGCAAAAGCAAAACTACGAATACAGAACCCACTCTCCAGGGTATCACCTTCTTCCAAAGTTAAGCCTACCACTGGATTCTGCCATCTCTCCTAAGCTAAAGATAAGCATGGCTCTGTGTGTGCATGCGTGTGTGACCACGTGCTCACACACACAAGCACGCATACACACACACACACACACACACACACACACACACACACACGCATGCGCGAATACCCCAAATTCTTCTTGACGGACTCAAAACAATAGCTGCACAGGGAAGCCACTGCTAGGAGCGCAGGAAAAGCACAAGCCTGCCAACGCCGGAACAAAGGGTTTCTGCCGGGAACATGAGAACACAGTGATCTCACACCCCTCTCCCACAGCGCCTGTGCGGGAGTGGGATCCTTCTCAAATTCAGACACAGTCACTGTTTCCACCCTAGAGGACCAGGCAGGAGGATGGCCAGGCCAGGAAACGGACTCCAGAGGTAGCTCTCTGATGTGCAACCCAGACAGTCCACTCACCAAGGAGGGAGCTCAAACGCGGAGGAGCAAGACCCAGGCATTCAGCATCACATCCAGCCGCCCACTCCTTCCCACTGAGGGCCTAGGCCAGGACCCAAAGTGGACTCTCCGATAGCAGCCTGGCTGCCTGGGGCACAAGGCTGCTTTACGTCCTGCTAGTGTGTTACTCAGGAGCCATCGCATTCCTCCGAACAGGGGCAGAGGGAGGCCCCGTGCTCCAGCCCTCACGGTGCCCTGCCCCCAGCAGCCTGGAGGGTGCCCGGGGCAGACATCGGAGTCACGGGAAGGCGGGCAGGAGCGCAGCACAGCCCCGACTTCACTTCTTTATCACCTGCATGAGGACCAGGCTCTGTTAAGTGGCCAAAGAGGAAGAAGGAGGCAGCTTTTAACACCTGAGTTTTGTGGTCACCTCCTCACAGACAACGGTGATCACACACTCTTGCATCCTGAGATAGAGGCTCTATCAAGACAAAAATGCTTTAAATAAATTAATGTTAGGTCCCCTATACACTTAAAAATAGTGAACAATAAAAACCTATTCCAGGGCATTATTAATCTATCCTACAGGCAACACTTAAGGTAGTACATGGAAGAAGGATCGCTCGAATAACCCCAGTGCGATAAAAACCTCCACCCTCCCCTAGACTGGCGCAGAGGAGGGGTGCAAAACAGCAACAACAAAAAAACAAAACCACTGCCCTACCGAGAGGCTCTGCAGCTTAAGAGAAGGTTTGGGTCCCCTGTGAAGACAGGTCTCTCCCCCAGGATAGAGCCCAGGGCCTTGCACTTGCTGGGCAAATACTCAACCACTAAGCCACACACACCCGAGCCCTTTTGTTTATTTTATATCCATTCATTTACTTATTTTTGGTGAGCTAAGAAGTGAGCCCAGGGCCTCATACTTGCTAGACCAGTGC